CGACATTCTAGCAATGCCCGCATGAAAAAGATAGCGATTTTCTAACTCGAAAATCGAAAGTTGAATTTTGAACTTTTTCTTTTTTTCTGTGATGGCTTCTACAATATTTGACGACGTTTCCTTAAACTAATTTCCATGTATCAGAAACTGAAGAAATAATACAAGATTCATATTTAGCACCGAAAGCTGCGTCAAACATAATAGCTCGGTGCTTTGCCTAACAAGTGACATGAGGTCTAATATATCACCATAGTTCACCCCATTACTGTAGCAATGACTCATAAAGATCATGTATTTGAAATTCATTTGTTCACCTTGAGACTTTTAAATACATCATTTTGTTGAAATTTTCTGTGTGCTATCTATTCATTTGTTTCATTTTCAATTTTGATAAATCATCCATAAGAAGAAGAGCTACTTTCGTGTGAGATCTTGTCAACTGGGAGTGTGTATGGGTGTAGCTGCCGATGTAAATCTTCTCTTCTTTTTGAGAGCTCAACCAGACACACCAATACCCACCCACAACTAGAAAAGGCAAGTGCAAGCGTATTTCATTAATTTCTTATTGACAAACGAATTTAACTCACAAAAGATTTCTTCGTCACTCACCTGTTTCGGATTCGATACAAGTCTTGTGGTCGTCTTTTATTGAATTCCCAGGTGTACTCTACTTGAGGCTATTCGATTTCTTTGCTTTGCCGCACCTGGGAACGGACACAAGTGTCCCATTAGTAATTGTATGTTTCTTCTTGAATAAATTTATCTTCGCAACATGAAGTAATTCAATCTCTGATTGACTAATTATGCTCTCTTGTTATGTAAAACGAACTCTTGCCAACAACAGAAATGAACTTTTATTTTTGTGTCCATAAATACCTTCCCTCACTTAGTTCTACTTGATTCATTTTTATGTTTGCTCTGTTTGTGCAAGACTTGATTGTTTCTTATTTAAGGCGACAACGCTACTCAGACGAGCTACTTTACTGACAACGACGTGAGAGTTACAATGCAGTTTTCTCGCATATTCCTTCTCTGCATGTTTGGCCTTGCAACTGCTATCGAGCGGGTCACATTGCCTAATGCTGATAGACAGTATATGAAAGAGTTGATCATACAGGAACATTCTGGTCATACTGAAGTTGAAGCGAACAAGGCCATCTATGAGCTCGAAAACTACTACACAGGTCTACGCGATGGCATTTTCCTGTGTGGCCCACCTCGAAAGCTCGATGCCTATTACCATTTGCACGTTCTCAACACACGCCTTTATCGTGATTTCTGCCAAGACACTTTCGGTCGTTTCATTGATCATGAGCCATTCTGGTCTGGCAATGTAAGTTAGCTTTCAAAAGTTACAAAATCGTACCAACTAGGGAACGTTTCCAAATGCCCAATAGCTTTTGATTTTTGACTTTATGCATAAGGTAGATTTTATTGAGGCCTGAAAAACTTCAAAAGAATAAATCTGCTGTCGGTCTTCTGTTCAGAGTTATAGGCATTTTGCTGCAAATTTAGACTGTGGCATAGTATATATCAATAAGTTGAATGGCGGTATTTCGATCTGAGAATTCAGTCACAAGAAGTCTACCTGTGGGTAAAATCTCCTGAAAATTTCAGCTTAAAAACTTGTTCCTTTTCCGAGATAGTAAGATTTCAAAAAGAAGAAAATTCTAGCATCTTTTGTGGGGTATGAGTGATTTTTGGGACTTTTATATTTCAGGAAGGAAACATTCTGTTAAGCTGAAATTTCCAGAACGTTTCATGCGCAAGTAGACTTGTTGGTGGTTGAATTTTTAGGTCGAAATGCCGTCATCTGACTTGTTGATATATACTATGCCATAGGTTAAACTTACAGTAAAATGCTTATAACTCTGAACAGAAGACTGAAGTGTTTATCCTTTTCGAGTTTTTCATGCCTCAATGGAGTCTACCTTATCTATAAAGTCGGAACTGAAAAGTGGCTGGACAGTTGAAAACTTTTCCCGTAAGGAAAAAAATTGCGATTTCTTTGTTTGTTTGATTGTTGTTTGGTTATAATATCTTTCTTATTAGCCGGCCAACGACAAAAACCAAGCTCAATGCGTTAACCAGATGAGTCTGCTTCAAGCGCACGGGCTCAATATCACTTGTCCATGCCTTTGGAGAACATCACCATCAGTCTCAAAAGTACGCAAATCAATTCCGATTGATTGCATCGTCGCCGATTAGCTCATGCAACGTTTCTAAACAGAAAACTTTATAACATTCGTATTAATTTCTTTTCTTATCACTTTAAAAAACTGTAATCTCTTAAAATAAAATACTCTTGCATTGGGTCTTACTCGACCAATTATTCTATAAACGCTAGTTCTGTCAAGTTGTGAAAGAACCAAGAAACTTGTACGCTTGATTTCATTTTCTTCTTCTTTATCATACCGCTGGCACCAGAAAACCCCAACAACTAATTAAGAGCTTTTGTGTTCATAGTCTAGCCATGACTAGGAGTTGATGGGACTATTCTGAAAAGAAAGGTACCATACGGAACCATTTTTGCAGGGTATGGGTGTGCATATGTGATGTGATTGGGAGAAACGAACATACCCACACCCACATCCTTCGAGGAATCTAAAGTAATTATATGATTTAAAGGGGTATGTGGGTGTGGGTGTGAGTGTGGGTGTGGGCTTGGGTGTGGGTGTGGGTGTGGGTGTGGGTGTGGGTGTGGGTGTGGATGTGTGTGTGGGTGTTGGATAAGAGAAGACCCACACCTACACCCACACCCACACCCACACCCACACCCACACCCACACCCTCAAGAGCAACACATCCACCCCACATTGGCTCACATTCATCTACATCCACACCCATATCCTTTTTTTCATCATGAGTTAGAATTTCGTATTTCCTTAAGAAAAAAGCTGGTTTATTCCATAATGAAGAGCATAATGAAAAAGCTAGCAAACGGGTGTATCTATAAAAAAAAATGGTCGACTGTCGAATGAGTTCATTTTGTATTGGGAAATTTTTCAAACAAATCGCGTAGTTTATCGATTGGGGCGGCCAAGAAAGCGGCAACAGTTTCGAATGGCGGCTTGTTAGGTACATTTGGATGAGCTCTACGTGACCACGATAGAAGAATAGAGAAAAACAGTATACTGAAAAGGAGGAAAAATTACATACCGTGTAGGAACAAACATTTTCGTTCGTTCTAACGATCGAGCAACTGAAGCATTCAACTCAGGTGAGATGGCCTTTTCGAATTTGGGCAAATCACTGTCTTCTTCCCTGCATTTTACAAGACAAATATATAGAGAAAACGAGCAAAAGAATGTTCATGTTCGTACTCCTTGACATGGTCATTTAAATTCTTTATGAGCTTGTCGAATGTTGAACGATAGTGATCATCTATCACCGAGGACGTTTCTAGTAAATGTAAGAGGGATTTGACCTATTCATATCAAAAAAAAATATTAGAAAGAGGCTGAGAAACGACAACAACGGACTTACTTCCTGATGTTGAGCACGATCTTTATCAGCCATTTTCTTTCCCTGAACACCCAAATACTTTTCAAAAGCCGGGTAGAGAACAAGTTCTTCGCCGATGAGTTGTCGAGCGAGTTCCCACCGAAATAGATTGGCCCAACGTTGTTGTTCTGCGACGTTGCCTTCTGCCGACACGTATTTCTACGATTTTCGACACTGGTTGATGAGTTCACTAAAAGGCAAAGACAAACCTGATAGGCATCGTTCATTTCAGCATGACCTTTTTTGATCATAGCCGAGATCGACGACGAAGATGAAACCAATCGAGTAGCATTGCTCGCTAAACGATATGAAGATTGATGTAAGAGACGTAGTGAGGCACAAAAAGATTGCATTGCTTCTGCTTGCAAGTAGAATAACGAATGACGCGACCAAAATAGTTTTGTCTTGTTTTTCTTTTGCGCGTTCTGCGCTTATGTCAATGAGTGCGAAAAAAACAACCTTGCTCTCGATTATGTATTCATGTTCTCCTTTATATATTCTTTCCTCCATGAGGGAGCTGTAAAATGACAATTTTTTTTCTCGCGACGAAATGGAACACTCAGCGTTTAATTTAATTTAATTTAATTTTCTTGTTATTTTAAAAGCTATCTAATAATATGTGCTTTTCTCTGTAGTTACAATTGTTGTACACAATCTAGATACTTCCATGGCAACCAACACTCGTAATCATGTCTGATGGAGGATGAAGCCATTGTCGACGCTATAAAAATTGCCTTGTGTCTTACAAGACGGTTCAGCCATCTAACACTTACTTTGACGTGTAGTTGACACTAATTGCGTCTTGTATTTAGACACATAAATGAAATAGACAAGAACGCATCTTGATCTCTTCTTTAGTGTATTAGTGCCCTNAGAAAGGTCCCGGACACAAACGACAGCAGAGACAAATAGCTAATACACTGAGAAGCGCCAGTAGCGGAAGACCAAAGCCTAAGCCTAGTCCAAGCCCAAGTTCCAAAGTGGATGAGGTCGTCGTCGTACTTGATATCCAACCCATATAAAAAGAAGCATTGAAAAATTCAAATTTAATTAGTTATTTCTCAATTAAAATTCGATTTTAAATGCCTAACTAATGAAAATGTGATTTAAATCAATTAGGATGAACTATATTTTCTTGAATTAATTTAGGACGTGATAAATAATCGACTTTAATCCAATTTTTTTCTTTCTATCATATACATATGGGTAGAGATGTTTTAAGGATGTCATTTAGACGATCAATCGATTGTATCACCGGTTGTCATCAGCATCGAGATCTTGGCGTTAAAATATGACTGTTTACTCTGCATTTTCCTGTTCGTAGTTAATTCAAGACCACTAGATCTATTGACGATAGAACTATTCTAACAATATTCGCCTTACCGCTGAATATGTTTTTGCTTCAATTGATGCACCTATCTTTCTCTCACTCTCTCTCTCGTTCCCGATTGTTGCTAATACAACAGAGAGAAAGAAAATCACTAACTGTAGATAACTTACGTTAATTCAACTGACGAAAGAATAACCGACGTCATTGCTGTAGTTGATGAGGTATTACTAAAAGAAGTTATACAAAAAAATGAAAAGTTTCCTGCATTGATGCATATCAACTGACATTGAAGTGTATGTTGTTGTTGACCTATGGAAAAGAGTATAACTAGATTTAGTTGTCTTAACTGTGGTAAGTCCTCGTACGTGGTGGTCACTGTTACTCCTGGACATAGTGGAACACTTGTGAGTCCAACAGAAAATGTTACACAATACTGATCTGATTGAACACTTGCACTAAAAATATCGAAGAAAAATGTATTGAAATGTGATTTTATAACTAATGTCCGTTTCAAAATATAATGCGTTCCACTGTTTTTTGAATAACTCAAGAATGCAATCAGCTAGAGATCTGTGGTTTTCACCAATCAAAAGAAGAGACAGAGGAGCGTCTTTTTCTCCAATACCATATCGGACGGAATCATTTTGAAACGAGCCATTTCTGCATAACATCGAAAAAATGGTCTGTCATTCAGATGAAATTTTGACAAAAAGTAAAAAAATTTGCTTCAAAATTAAAAGAAATTCATAGTTTTACTTGCGAGTAACTAGACGATTTTATTTGCTAAACGTTAGGATGCGATAAGATAATCATTCGAATTATATCCTGAAGTATAGATCCGAAGTCCCTCTATCTATATCACATGTCAAAAGAAAAATTTCTTCAGAATGCCGGGTCGTTTTCATGCATTTTTTGCAATGTTTTGCAGAAATGACTGATTCTAAAATGATTTTGTCTGATACCATATTGGAGAAAAAGATGTCCCCCTGTCTCTGCTTTCGATTGGTGAAAACCGCAGATCTCTAGCTGATTGCATCCTTGAGTTATTCAAAAAACAGTGGGACGCATTATATTTTGAAACTGACATTAGATGTATCATCAATTAACCTGTCTGATGCAATAGCACAAAAGACTTGTGTACCGACTTGAGTAGCTGTCGGTTGCCATGTTATTGTCAATGACCATAATGATGAATTGGTTGTATTTTGAACAAGTGCACTTTTTGTCACAATGGGAAAAGATATAGTGGCAATGTCACTCATTGTTCTTCCACTGCCGCATTGATTGATAGCGGTCAGTGTCATCGAGAAATTGAATCCAACCTGTACACCCAGGCAATCATCATCATTCACACTGCCTATCAGAAGAGGTTTCAGAGTACAGCTTGGAGTCGCATACACATAAATCAGAAATTGAAGGGGAACAGAACTTATTGGAATGACACTGGAATTAGTCATAAAATCTTCGACCTATTGACAAGTACAAAATCAAGCTTACAGTGAACAGATCCAAAAAGCAACAGATTACCTGTATTGCAACGAGATAATACTTGCCAGCTAGTGATCCCGTAATTGTGAGAGTACACGAAGAAGATAAACTCGTACCTGATGGCAGTGATCCTGGTGGACAAGTATTGGAGCATTCCGATGATCCATTAGCAAATCGACATCGAATGAAATCATTGTCTGCATCAAGAACTGGAATTTGAATTGTCTGTGTAATGTCAACAGGAATACTAATGTATGAGATACATGTAGCCACTGGTGGTGTATTTATTAATCCATTGTCTGATCTTATACGCAGGTCTATGGTACTGGCAAGACTCCAACCAACAGAGCTGCCCAATGCCAATGTTTGCCAGGCATTGGTTAACGAAGTGTATGCCACAATAAAATAAGAGGGGACAGTCAAGTTGATCATATCGGATCGTTGACTGACTGTCAAGTCCAATGCAGTAGAGAAATCAGTACACGGACCAACAATGAATGCTTCGTTTCCGACATAGCCACCTGCCGTTGAACAATTAACAATGCACTGCAGAGTTATATTATTACCTCCATGTGTACTCAGATCAATAAAAGGAGATTGAGTCGCAATCATGCTAGTTGTACAAGGAATTAGCGCTTTCGTCCATATATATGTTTGAGTGATGATGATTGAGACTTGACTTCCAGTCGTTACATTGTTAGTAATCGGTTTCCAAGTGATTGTGCCGCCACGAAAGTGATTTGCTTTGCTCGTGACAGCGATTAGCAACAAGACGCACATAGAGTAAACACGACGCATCTACTATCAAACATGAAAAGACAACAGTGAAGTCACTTCGAATTGTGAAGATTTCCTCAAGCTGTCTTGTTATAAGACTTTACACATTATTGTTGCTAGATGAAATTAGTTTTACTTGATTATATTCAAAGCAGATTTTCTAGTTTCTTAATGGACTTTTCCTATCTTTGCGAACCAAAGATCGAAACCGATCCGAACTGAATCATAATTTAAAGAAAGTAGGTCGAACCGAATCGGATCGAATCGAACCGGTAAAACCAGTTTCAGTAATTATCAACATCACTAGTACTGCTTCATCACCTCTTTTGCTATCATTTTGATCTCAGTGTTTTTTTTCCCCATCTCTTTCATTTCCTATGCTGTCGAATGGACAGTTTAGCATCACTAGTCAGATTGTCATTGAGCGGCACAACAATCTGAACTAATCGAAATTCAATGATATCAGCTTGTTAAGCTTCAATGGCTAGGAAGTGTTTTTATCTGTCGCTCGTCCTTGTCAGATGCTGTCTAATGGCGCTCAACTTTCTGTATCCTCCTCACAACCAAAGCAATCTCTGCTTTGAAATGTCTAAGTGACACTAAACGTGAAAAGTTGCGCTTCTTCTCCAGAGAGCGACATAGTACTGCTCCTTAAAAAGGTAGGAGTTTCCTCTACTTGTTGTCGATATCCGTTCAAAATCACTGTATGTCGAACTAGCAAAAACCAATACGCCCCCTCCTTAATCGAAAACATTCAGAAAAATAAAATCTCGAATTGAGTCGAATCGAATCGAATCATTATTTTTCCGGTCTGTTTCGACCTCTGCTACGAACTATCTACTAGTTCTGCTTGCTAACAAGTTGACTGCAGAAGTATACCAATTCTATACTCGAATAATGAATAATCTTACTTAGACAGCACCGACAGTCTCCAATATTGATATTGATATTGATTTCAGACTTAGCTTTCAAGACGCAGATTTGCAAGTCTGTTAGAAGAGATTCAACAGCTCATGCATATATTTAAAAGAGTCTCCGCTGTACGATGGCTTTGAACCATAGGTTGTAAAGCTTGAAAATATTGTATTCTAATGAAGTATGCTCTGTTTCTTGACAATGATTATGTGTACACTTATGCTGCTCTTACATTCATTTATATGTGAAACATTGATCAGAATCTTTTTTCTTGTTAAAAAATGAATTACTTTTTTTCTTACAAACATGCAAAATTGATTATTTGAATAAATCAGTATATGTTTGTTAATGTAGATATAAGACAGAAAAGAAATACAAGCATTNCCTTCGATTCTACATTCTCAAACATCAACAAGAAATGTCTTTCAATCGGGTTGTTATAATATGTGTTATTATCAATATTTTAAATGGCATGGACCCTTTCTTGCTCAATTTGAATTCAATGAAAGAATTATTCGGGGTAATGGTTCTGACGATGTCGGCTCATTTGATATTACAGGAAGCTATTCAACCGATGATAATCATATGACTTTAACGAAACACTATAAACGTGGAACTGGCAATCCTCGTGAAAATCTCGGACATCAAGTTAAAATTGATTTGAAATGGAACGAACAAGAACAACAATTCAACGGTCAATGGATCATTAGAACAACAAACTATTCTGGTCAAGATAAATTCGAATTGAAATTAAAACAGGATCGAGAACCAACGTTATAAGATGTGAATGGTTCAGAGCTAAAGTTCGATCTGATACAATATAATAAAACTATATTCTGTACCATTATATGACTATGAAATTTAATCAACTGCTCTTTAGTTTTTTCACAAAAAAACAGGCACAATTCCAATACAGCAGGTGTTTTACAGTTTGCTAACAAGATTTGCTTAGATAATTTACCAATCAGGAAATTACGAAATAATTTAGTTTTGGGGATAGAACTTTGTATATGTTTAAGTCAATGAGTTCGCTAAGAAAAACATTGAGATTCATACAGAAATGTCAATCCCATTAACACTATATGTAATGGTTAAAATTATATTTTATAGTAATAAGATTGTCATTGAAAAAATATTTTGTAAAATACATACGATTTAAAAGAGAATCTTTGATTTGATTTCAACGGGATATAATCACTACAAGAAAAAAATAGCTTTTAAAGTAGATATATGACTCTATGTGTGTTGTGTCACTGTTTTGTATTTAGTTAATGTCACGTAGAATGCTACATAACTTATTGTTATATTCACTTGAAGTACAGAATCATCTTCTGATACATGAGGTTTATTCTATTTCTTGTCACGAGTAAATAATGATGTTGGAATGATTCAGAGCAAACTCATTATAGAAAACAAACATTTCGCTATGATCATATTTCTTTGAAACATGTCTGCTCGAATTTGAATCAAGCACACGAGCCAAATCCGTTCTCTGGATTGAAGAGTGTCAATGTGAATGGGTGTGGGTGTGAGTGTCTGTATTAATCTTTTCTTCCTCCACATCCACCCCCAAAACCCTGTTTTCTTGTTTAAATGCAGCATCGTTACATAGAAAATAATGCAAAAAGAATCTATTCTTAGTGTTTTATTATAGATTCTTGCATTTTTCTTGATTTATAATTATAATAGACGAACTAACAAAAACTCATTTCTTGATACTTATTCGAGATTATGTCTATTCATTACATACAGTACAACACCAACTTGTTTCGGAAACTCTATCGTCAATAATACAATAAAACTTTAAAAATATTTTTGTTTGATCATGAAATCAAAGAGAACTGCGAATATAGCAACATTGAACACTAACAGACAAGATGTTCAGTGTGTTTGCTATAAATTTCTATCACCAACATAAATATTAACACGACAACAACAAACAACAAGTACAACGAAAGCATTATACATAAATAACAAGTAACCACGTAATTAATGCCAGAAACTTAAGAAACAGCGGTGAAATGAAGCGCCTATACGAACATATATATATATATGCGTGGAAATCAACTAGAATAATAACAACAACACCATCAAACGAAAGACTTATTAGACATGTTGATTCTGTTCTTGAAGATAACTATGATTCCTTTCTTCTTCATATATCAGATGTTGCCAGGTAAATATAAAACTCCATGAAAAGTAATGAAGTATACAAGTACCTGTGTTGATTTAAAATTTTATTATTTTGTATCTTCTATACTAATATCTTCTAATGTCACTTGATAACATCTCCAGCAACATTGAAATGCCGGATATCGTGATAGCTACACACACATACACCCACAGTTTCAATAAAAACAAAAAACAAAACGATGTCGGTAGTAAAACTCAAATGTTGGATTCTTCCAAAACTTATCAATGAGTCACAAAATGCACAAACCTACATATATATATATATGTAAAGCAAACCGCGTCATTTACGCAACATCATTTCAATCATTCTTCGGATATTAACAAAGTTTTGGCCAAGATTTTTTGTTAAATAATCAAACTACAGTAAGTGAATTATTAAGATGATTTCTAGCAGAAAACAGAATATTTGAATAGTTAACATATAATTTGTCAAAATAAACCTAATATTTGAAACTGATATAGAATAAAAGCTGATGATCAACATTGCTTTACTAAATGTACCAGCATATGCGTATTAGTGAATAGTAATTCGATTGATTGACCTTGCCACATATTTGTTTTCATATTTGTAACATGTATTCAAATTAAATATATTGAGATATTACCAATATTTCAAATGAGTAGTTCTTTTTATTTTTTCTTCGGTGTCTTACTCATGATTTTGTCTGACTCGATTAACGAGTAAATCAAAGAATCACCATAATCTATAAGGTAATCTAATGACAAAGAAATGAAAACTACGATAATATAGAGCTTTAAATTCGAATTTCATTGAAATTATTGTTTTGATGGAAGATAATTCAAACTGCAACTTTCAACAATCCCACACATAACAAAAAAATTCAGAAAAAAATCGAACTTGGATTGGGAAGTTATTGATTAACGCGGCTTCAGAGACCACTAATTGTCTATCGTTTCGTTAGTTAACATTCAGTTATTTCTCTTAGTTAAAGAATAGTGATGGTTAGTCACCATGAATTATTAACTAATTTACCAAGCCACAAAGACTACAGAAGCTATCCGTTACTTGATAATTCCCTTGTCGTCGTTAATACTCACGTTCAACGTTTGAAAACAGAAACGTTGAATTCAATGTTCAAATCGTACATATATGCCTTTCGATGACCTAGAAAATTTGTTTTTCTACATTTTATAATAGTAATGGATCCTTTTATGATTCGCGGAACTTCGTTCGCATTAACTCAACGTCAAACTCAATCCGTTTCGCAGCAATCTCACTCGAATAGTATGCCACTTTCAAGTTCTTCAACAGCGTTGGTATCTGAAGAAGACAAAGATATGATTAGTGCACTATCCGTGCAAACACAATCTTTAAAAATATCATATAAAAAATCTATGACTTTGCCAGAATTAAGAAAACTTTTAGAAGCATGGAAAGACCCTGAAGCTCTCGCAGAGATTATAGACGCAAGTGAAAGAATTACGAATTGTTTTAAACAACGTTCAGATAGTTTGGATTTATCGTCCCTTTCTCTAAGTACTCTTCCTGATGTTTTCGGTGGAATGCAACATGTATATTATTTGTCGATTTCCAACAATTATTTTTCAGAAATACCACGATTTTTAACTAAGTTAGCTTCGTTAAAACTATTAAACATGTCCAATAATGTATTGTCTGAAGTGCCCGATTTTATCAAGGAATTCAAACATTTGGAATTCTTCAATGCCGAATGCAATCAACTCGAAAAGGTTTCAGAAGAATTGGGACGTTTGCCAAAACTCCGAACGCTGCTGTTGACTCATAACCGTATTCTGAATTTTCCTCAAAATATTCATCGTATCAAAAATCGTAGTCTGGAAGACCAAGTTCCACTAGCGTCTTTTGGCAATTTTTCTCCTGAGTTCGCAGCACGATGGAAAGAAACTTTTCAACATGAAACGGTATCAGGTTATTTCGAAATATGGCTGGCACGGTATGAAGAAATGCTCAGATTGCCAGAAGCTGAAAACTATCACCAAGCATTTAAACAACGTATCAGTACATTGCTGGATGCGATGGTGAACAATCCGGATTTACGTAAACTGTGTTATGATAAAGCACGTGATGTTATTGCAACGTCTCATGACGGTATGTTATTTGCCTTATTTGAAATGGAAGTCAAACATATTGAACAAAGAATAATCGAATTACAATTATCTGACGAGGAAATTCATCAGGAAGTCGAGCGAGCCTTTAATTTTTATCGTTTACAAGAGCTCGCTTTATTACACGCACAAGAGGGCTCGTATAAAAACAATGCGACCACGGAAGAAGCAATAGTCGATGCACAAGAAACGGTGTTATTTTTTTACATCTCTCCTGAAAACACTTTGGAAATGCCATTGAACTGCGAAGCACCGCGTTTTATGTATCAACCAGAAATGGCTCTAGCGAATCATCATGATGTAAGAAAAGCGGTCGAACAAATTCAACGCGAAAAAAATGAACTTGGCCCAGATTATTTGATTAATTTTATTTTGGATAAGGAATATTGGATTAAGTATTTATCAAGTCGTTACGGGAATTTCATCGCAGAACACACACAAGTTTTTATGGATCAGATGGAAGAAGTAGAAGCAAAAAAAGACAAGATTAGTGAATATGATTATCTCATACAGATGAATGCTTTGGTTGCAGAGAAGAATGAATCGGAACAAAAATTGTATCATCAATTGACTAAAAATATTGTTGTAGATTGATTAAGAATATAATTCAATAGAAAAAAAAACAGACCGATCTATCTCTTGCCGAAGAAGATACGTTCGATCTATTAATCTAATATCAACTCTTGCTTTTCAACAATTGAGTTAGTTCAAACTAAATAAACTTATATGTACATGTGTTTTGATTAAATTTTTACGGTAAATACAAAGTAAACATTCATCAGGACTTTGAGATTACATAATGCAAACAGAAATAAGAATTAAATATGCAATGGGAGTAAAAGGATGGCGAAAAAGAAAATACAAGATAAAAAGAATGACTCATATTAAAATGAACATTGAGCTCATGCGAATCATTATTTGAATTATATGGAAGAAGTTTAAGCTACTTGTGTTTCAAATGAAATAGATGAAATTTTGCACTACTTAATATTCGTTCATTTTAGAAAATCATTTTATATGTAACAGCTAGTTTGATAAAATTATATTCTATTAAAATTCATATTTAAAAAAAATTTGAATTCAAAATCGAATACTTTTAGACTTCAATAATGACGCTCGCGTATCTCCCCTTGTTATTTGCTGATAAGAATACAGCAAAATGGTTATCAGTATATGAAGCTCATTCTTTTAGAATCTGAGAAATGCTATAAGATCTGCACTGGTTACTAATGAGATTCACAGTAATGTGGCTTTATTTGATAAGGACCCTGCAACTCTTTGTTTGAAATCGTCGCCTGAAAAACTGTTACAGTGACTCAATCGAAATAAATCTCTACTTTACCTATAGGCAAACAAATGGTTACTTATGACATTGCAATTTTTCTTTTGTTCTGTTTCGGTGAAGTCTTGCTTTTGTGAATGTGACTGAAGAGTAAATCGATAAAAACCCACGTCCATAGTCTAAAAATGACTTTATCATTATTGTGTAGGTATTTGTTTTCAACTTTTCTTGTCTTTGAGTGTCAATATGTGACTTCTCCCGCTTCCTTTTTTTTATTGCATGCTTTGTTTTCTCAATTACCTCACTATTTGATTAGAATATGTTTTATCATTTAGAAATCTTTGAGTGAAGATTTTTTTTTCGCGTCAAAAAGTGGATATAGAACTAAACGCAGCTAGCTAAAAAATTAGGCGCCGAATTAAATCTGTGATAGAAAAATGTTGAGAAACACACATGTATTAGATGGCTTTTATCAAAGCAATAAAAGAACAATTTTTTTTTTTCTACAACAATAGTTTTAGAAATTGAAGTTGATGTTATCTCCTAAACTAGTCTATACTTTTAAATTGTTTTATTTATTAAAAAAGATAGATTTAATTCATAAAAGAAAATGCAAGTTCATGCTTTTTTTTATGTTGGAATTTTGATACTTACTTTCAAAAATAAGGTTGCAAATATTTTTCTCGATACTCATCATTACATTTATTTTCCACTTTCATCAAATCTTACATATGTGAATTAAGAAAACACTTAAGAGAATTTTCAGCAGGTTTTTGACCAAGTTGTCTGAAGTTTTTTTATGAATTACAAGTTCATCGTATATTTTTGCCAAAAAGGTGTGGATGTGGATGTGGATGTGGAAATATTTCTTCTCATAATTGATCATTAAACCCACATCATTGACCGATTGTTAACAAAAAGTTTTCGTGTTTGAAAGCATCTGGTATTGAAGTTGATCGTATCAGTCGTCAAAAAAGTCAGAATTTGAGGATGAAGATGAGAGTATGTGAATCTACCAAACAAGATATTATCGATAGAATTTGAATCTATTGATGTCCATTGTTCTTAAACAAACAGATGTGTAGTAACAAACGTTTCATAGATCTGCTACAGATGCTAAATCAATCAGTTGAATCTTATTTGCAGCTAGTACTATTGATAATGAACGATTTTCGGCATAGCTCTATTTCAACCATACCGGATTTTTAACTGATATTACTTGCAGTACACATATATTTTATTGAACGAAAACCACATCAAGTTTGGGTCAGGAAACTCGACTTAAATGTGACCTTAACTCAGCCTGTTGATACTTTGCGGGCAGCTAGAATCGGCTTATGAACAAAATAGCTGTTGATCGGTCTGCGAAGTTCGTTGGAAGCCTAAAGTACGCTTCAAATCATAATAGTGCATTTGATAGAAGCTTGAATCATAAAAACAACTATCTTCAAGAGATTATCGTAGCTGTGGAAGAACAGTATTATTGATTAAATAGAAAAAGACAAATGAAAATATTTTGATACAAATTTTTAGCGAAAGCTATGAATTACAATTAATCAAAGGCAAAATGAATCATGTCGATGTGCGAAGAAACTTCTTTACAGCCGAGAAGAAGATAATAATGATATAAAATAACACTTTCTAAACTTAGTCACTGAACTGTATCAAAGCTTCTTCAAAGGTCATTTACTTCAGCTGACATATTCTGTCACACTAATATTTTGATATTCTCACAGTGCAATGCGACATTAACTGTAATTTGAGAATTCAATTGCAAAGACAAATGCATTCATTCATGCGTCAACTTAAAAATTGAATCCACGCTCTGCTAAGCACTCGAAGATTTTTGTGTCACTATTGATTTGACGATTTGCAATGACGAATTTTTTTATCAATTAATGGCTCAATTTTCTTTTTGGTTAACACAATGTTCTTTTCAGTTAAGCAAAAAGCTTTCATTTATTAACCCTTTAAGGACGGACTTTTCTTTATAAAAGAAATAAAGTCCTACAGTCAAAATCAATTATAATCTGAAAAGTATTACCAATCATGATTTTCATACTGATTCTTACTGTCAAGAGACAAATAGAGAACTTTGAGAGAGAAAAGCAAAAAAATACGTTAATAATCTACTCTAACAAATCTAGCGTCTTACATTTCTACACAAACTTTCAAACCGTATACATATGGTATTCGCCCTCAAAGGGTAATGCATCGCATGTTGACAAAGTAGTCAGCAAGAAATAACTGCACATAAACTTTTTCTCTGAGAGTAGCCCATAAATAGCTAAAATTTTGATCCTTCACTTGTTCATATACACAGAGAGTCCTAGATATTGGCGAAAAATATCACGGGTCCACGTTGTTATGGACCCATAGCTCTCTAGTTCAAATTCGTTTACATTTTCTACTGCAATTAGATTCACTATCGAAATACAAAAAAATCAACAGTTTTCTGACATAAAATACATTTTTAGAGATACACCAACTAAACAATCCTTTCTCTAGATATGTTTCATTATTTTTATAAGAAGACAGCTGTGATTAACGATGATAATTGAAAATAAAAGAAATCGTTTATTCTTTGTATATATTTAATATAATTAATATAGTTCTGCACTGTTCAAAGTCTCATAATTATCTCCACCAGTAATTAACACTTTTCCATCCTTTAATGTGGATGCGGTATGGCATTCCCGCACGTAATTCATGTTACCAGTAGTTATCCAAGTTTCTGTTGATGGATCATACAACTCAGCAGTTCCTAAAGGACCAAACACATCCTCTCCGCCAGAGACTAACACTTTCCCATTTGTTAATACGGATGATGTATGGTGAACTCGCGAATAACTCATGTTACCAGTTGTTGTTGTCCAAGTTCCAGTTGATGGATCATATAACTCACTACTATTTAGACGACCACCCTTGCCGAACCCACTAATAACTAGGACTTTTCAACTTGTTAATACGGATGCTGTATGCAGACTCCGCGCGTAATTCATCTTACCGGTAATTGTCCAAATTCCTGTTGATGGATCATACAACTCAGCACTATTGAGATGACCATCATCACTCAATCCACCAGTAATTAACACTTTCCCATTTGTTAATAAGGATGCTGTATGACTATTTCGCGCATATTCGAGGCTACCAGTAATGTTCCAAGTTCCTGTTGATGGATCATACAATTCAGTATTCTTGAGACGCCCACTCTTATTCATTCCACCGATGGTTAATACTTTTCCATTTCTTAATACGGATTCTGTATGCCAGTATCGTCCATACTTCATATGACCTGTAGTTGTCCAAATTCCAGTTGATGGATCATATAATTCAGCACTATTTGAAGGACCACTCTCACTCAGTCCACCAATAACTAATACTTTTCCACTTGTTAATACCGATGCTGTGTGCATATTTCGCGCATAGTTCATTCCATTAATAACTTTCCAATTGCCAGTTGACGGATCATACAACTCAGCACTATTCAGACGAATAATGCCGCCATCACCCAGTCCACCAGTAACTAATACTTGTCCATTTGTTAATACGGATGCTGTATGCCATTCTCGTGCATAATTCATGCGACCAGTAGTTGTCCATCCTAAGTATATACGTATATATATGTGAGTTGAAAGTAACACTAATCAAGAGTCAAAATAATTAATCCGAAGCATACGTGACTGCTGGGTTGCGGTTGTAGTTGCAGTGATGGTTGCTATTCATTAAAAGAAAACATTTATGTAAAATAACACATACGGATTAAACTCAAAAAACGTTTTAAGTATTCGATTCAAGTATTCAACTTTTCAAGTTTCAACTATTCAACTGAGTTCCCATCAAGGAGGATGAGGGGGAGGGGGAGGAAATAAAGAAAAATTGAAGAAAAGTTTAAAACTCGAATCGAATAATTCACGACTGTCACACTACTGACCCAAACCTGTAACACTAAAAAAGAAGACCATTACGTGTTAAAAGTTTGAAAAATAAAAATTGATGCCATTTAGCTAAGAAGAACGAAAACGAAATAACGAATTATATCCAAGGGGGAAAAAGCGGATCCTCGGATCCTTGGATCCTCTTGGATCCTCTGGATCCTTTTGGATCCTCTTGGATCCAGAGGATCCAAGGATCCGAGGATCCGCTTTTTCCCCCTTGATTATATCTATAAACATAGTTGAGCGTTACAATGAAGCGATATCGTGTCAGTGTTTTTTTTTAATTTCTATCACATGGGTGATATTTTAATCTGCATCGCTCTCAAAACTCAAAAACGTACATTTTTATATTTCAACAAGTGGAAACTTGATATAGCTGCTGACGCACTTTTGTGATGATGCGAAAAAATATAATTTTCGTGGATTAACTCTCGGTTAGTGTTGTGGGGTCCGCTTGGACCCACTTCACAGGTTTTCGTCTCGCACTACACAACTATTTACTGTTTCGAGCCGTTTGTTTTTTGTAATCTCTAGGATCTGGTAGGTGTACAATAT